TATAGTGATACATCTCATAATGGTTTGGGTTGTGTACTTATGCAAGAAGGTAAGGTGGTAACCTATGTTTTTCGACAATGAAAGATGCATGAGAGGAATTATCCTACTCAAGATCTTGAGTTAGCAGCGGTTGTTTTTGCTCTAAAGATTTGGTGTCATTATTTGTATGGTGAGAGATGCCACATTTACATGGATCATAAGAGTTTGAAATAATTGTTGACTCAAAAATAGCTTAATTTGAGAAAGAGAATATGGATAGAACTTTTAAAGGATTATGATTTGATCATTGATTATCATCCAGGCAAAACAAATGTTATAGTAAATGCACTTAGTCAAAAAACTTTTGCAGCTTTGTGAGTTATGGATGTGCGACTATTGTTAAAAGAAAATGGCACACTATTGGATGAATTAAAAGTAAAATCGATGTTTTTATATCGGATAATAGAGATACAAAAGAAATATAGACATTATAGTCCACTGACTATGCATACAAGTGGGAACAAAATGAATAAGGATGTAAAGAGTCATTTTGGGTGGCCAAGTATGAAAAGAAACATTACTGAGTTTGTTGCTACATGTTTGACATGTCAACAAGTAAAAGCTGAGCATAAAGTGCTTTCGTAATTGTTGCAAGTGATTTATATTCCAGAGTGGGAGTGGTAAAGTGTCACTATAGATTTTATTACTGGACTACTTTTGATATCAAATAAAAAAGAGTCCATTTTGGCTGATAGTGAGTGGTTAATTAAATTTGCACATTTCATTTCGATGTGAATGGATTATGCATTGGATAAATATACATAGTTGTTTATTAAAGAGATAGTTCGGCTACATGGAATACCAATATCCATTATATCTGACAGGAATCCAAAGTTCACTTTAAGACTTTGGAAATAATTGCATAAAGTGTTGGGTATTTGATTTAATTTCAGTATGATTTTTCATCCACAGATGGATGGTAAGTCAGAAAGTACTATTCATATATTAGAAGATATGCTGAATGCATGTGTGATTGATTCCAAGGAAGCAGGGGAAGAGAAAAGTATTTGCTTTTTGTAGAATTTTACTACAATAACAGTTATCAATTGAGTAAAAAAGATGGCTCCGTATAAAGTTAAATATGGGAGAAAATGTCGAACACCATTAAATTGGTTCGAGTTAAAAGATTGAAATCTTGTTGGCCAAGATTTAATGAAAAAGGTTGGAGATAAAGTTATCTTAAAGTATTGCCTTGGAAAACAAAATTTTGTGTTTTGAGTGCAAAGGAAAAATTAAGTCTAAGATTCATTGGACCTTATATGATATTAAAAATAGTTAGACTGATGGCTTATCAGTTATCAATAACTCTGGAGGTAACTGAGATCCAGAGTTGAACAAAGTGTAAAATGTTTTTCATATGTTGATGCTTAGGAAGTATCGATTGGATCTTTCATATATCATTTCATCAAAGGAAATTAAGATCCGACCATATTTGATTTATGAAAAAGAACCAATATGGACTTAACACGAGAAATCAAAGAACTATATAGCAAGACGATTCCTATAGTCAAAGTGATTTAGCAAAATCATAATGTTAAGGATGTTACTTGGGAAAGAGAGGATGATATGAAGAAATAATATCTACAGATTGTCATAGCAGGTTGAAGATTTGGATTAAACAAGTTCAAAATCTAATGATCTATATGATCTTCACAAAAATCCTAAATTAAGGAGGAAAAATCAGAATTCAAGCAGTTGGCAAGACTAGAAGAGGTTTTCGCATAAAATGAGGGCATGTCTTACCAGTTCGTATAACCCTAAATTAGGGTTACAAATTTACAATGGGAAGTGTAATCCTTATAAAAAGGGAGTTATGAATTTTCAAGGGAAAAAGGGGAGTTAAAGTTTTCATAAAAAGTTTTAAAATTCGAGGACGAATTTTTCTTTAGGAGGGGAGAATTGTTATACCCCAAAAATTTAGATAATGACCAAAATGAAAATTTGGAAAGTTTGATGGTCAAAACAAAAAATTGGGAAACAGTTTGAGGAATTAAGTGATAAATTTCCTAAAAAGAATTTTATTCCATAAATAGATAGTTTACTCTTGAGAGTGGAGTTTTATAGAAATCATATTTTTGGATTTGGAATTTAGTAAAGAAAAATTAGAAAGGGTTAAAGCCGATAAGGAATCGATAATTTAGATCGAATTGGAATTTTCCAAATATTTGAAGTATGCTATAAAATAGTTGGAAATATTATTTTAATATTTTGGATCAGAGAAATTTTGTTTAGAAATGTGCAATTTTTCAGATTTAACCGAAATAGTGGAATTTAGTGACTAAATCGCAATATTTGAAAATTAAAGGGGAATTTCAGAAATGAAAGTCAAATTAATTCATATTTGACTTTGTAATATGATATGGATCAGGTAGCTTGGTTTTATGGTGAATAGGAAGATTCATTAAGGGCAAAAATAGAATTTCTCATTGAATGGAATAAAATATGACATTATAATATATATTGCCATGTGATAGATTTATTTATCATTAAATATCAATCATGGATGAGAATTTCGAACTTCTTCTTCCTCCAAGGTCCGACACTTTCAAGCAAGAAAGGTAAACATTTTTAGTTTGAATTTTGAAGCTATTTCTTGAGAATTAGACTCGGTGTGGTTAGGAAAAATGTTCTACGTTCAATTCTCTACATTTTGACATGAATATTACTAGGATTCATGTTCAAGTTCATCTTGAGTTGATTAAAGAGGATGTTTATTCTTGTGTTTTATGGGTTTTGAAGAGTTAAGTGATTTTAAAGAATTGGTTGTGAGAATTTATGAAGAACCTAAGGATGAGGTTAAAGAAAATAGTTTATACTTTGAATTTTTCAGTGGGTTTGGAAATTTATAAGAAATTATATAAAAATAATTTGGAGGTTATTTTTATATATATTGTTCATATATTGAACTAGTTCGGTTTAAAACAAACTTGGATCAATTTCAAGGTGTATACAAAGAGATATGAATTTTTAACTAAGGAAAGGTCAGAAAAATCGGATAACAGATTCTGCAAAACAGATTATGTTGATCAAATTTGAAAATTCACCATAAATTGTACAGAATGAATTAGAAGGAGTTATTTATATGGAATTAGTTTTTGGAGTTATTAAGAATTTAAGTGGTAAAATGGTGAAGGACCATTTTGGGTAAATTGGAAAAGTTGGTTCCAATGTTATAGGAATTATTAAGTATTGACTATTTTGATAGAGAATGAGTTCAAGTATATTTTGGAGTTATTTTGGAATGTGTTTATGTTAGTACAATACTAACATATGTAATCGTTATGAATTGTGATTTATACATATTATGATTGATTTGCGATTGAAGCAAGTCAAGTATAAAAAGGGTTTATTGTGGAACATAGTGAAACTCATATTTTGAAAGATATATAGTGTCAAGGTGAGTGCAATACATGCATGACATTATACATGGATGTTTTATACATCATCGGGAAGACTTGCGATAAGTCGACCTTGTTTATGTTGACATGATATTTATGTCATTTAGCATATATTTGATATATTCTAAATATGTCAAAGGTTGAAAATAAAATGCATTGATCACTGATTTTTGCATATGATTTTTATCATGAATGTTATTTCGGGTATGAACTGCCCAATGTTAAATATGGATAATATACTTTGCCATGGATGAATTGAATAAAATAGACTATATGCACAAGTAAGTCATTGAGGGAGGGTATAGTTGGCATGCCATAGAGTATAGCAGCTGCAGGTTTATAATACACTTCGGTGTATATGGTGGGCACGACCTTATGTGTAATACACTTCGGTGTATATGGTGGGCACGACCTTATGTGTAATACACTTCGGTGTATATGGTGGGCATGACCTTATGTGTAGCACTACAGTCTAAATATTACTCGAATACCCAGGGTCCTCAGGGTTATATATTGGGCTATAGGCTATGGTTTATGGTTTATTGGTTAATAAATGGTAACCATGCAAATAAGCTTACGAGCTTATGGAACAAATGGTAAGTGTATTGGTAAAATAAGCTTACGAGATTATGGAACAAATGGTAAGTGTATTGGTAAAATAAGCTTACCAGCTTATGGAATAAATGGTAAGTATATTGGTAGAATAAGCTTACGAGCTTATAGGAAAAATGATAAGAAATTTTATATCATTTTGATCATTGTAAAATATTAGATATGATGATAATATGATTTGAAGGCATTTTGAAATTTACATTGAAATTCATTCATGAATTGTATTGCACTGTTTATTGTTTTAATTTCCTCACTAAGTATATACTTAGCGTGTGATGATTTTCACGCGTAGGTAAAAAGCCAGTAGTGGCATAAAAGAGTTCAAAGTGACATCAAGCATCGAGGAGTATATTTCAATATCAGTAAGACATCCTATGATGAAATTTGAATTAGATAGTGGCATGTAATTAATAATGTTTAATTTATTTTGTAGAATAAAGTTGGAAACAAAATTGGAAATTTTATAGTGATGAAAGGTTAATTTTTATGAATTTTATATCTATTTTTCGGAATTTACTGTAGCAGTTTATCGATGCACTATAGTAGTGCATCGATACACATTTTTGATTCGAAATTTAGGCGCACCGATGCACTGTTCACGTTACTATAACAGTTCATCGATACACATTTTTTATTCAAAATTTAGGTGCATCGATGCACTTTTCACGTTACTGTAACAGTGCATCGGTACACTGTTCACGGTACTGTTCACTGTTCACTATTCATAAAAAATACTTTGGTTTTAAATTTGTTATAATGAAACATAATTCTTATGATATGATATTTTTATAATATCATTTACCATTTTAAAAGAAATAAATTCTAAATCAATTTTGAAGTGAAAATGGTTTTCGAAAATACGGGTGACATCTATAATCCATATAGGTATAATTATACGGGTTATATACGGGTTATGGGTGTTACAGACTTCACATCCATATTGTGTACCTCCTATCCTTCATGTGCAGCTATAGAGATCAGCAAACATACTGTCTCTAGTCGAGCAACAGGGGAGAAAACTTCATCAAAGTCTATGCCTTGTCGTTGAACGTACCCTTTTGCCACTAATCTCGCCTTGTGCTTCATAATTCTTCCTTGAGTGTCATTCTTTAGCTTGTAAACCCACTTTAGACCTATAGGTTTGTGGCTATCAGGTAATGGAACAAGCTTCCAAGTTTCACTTTTCCGAATAGAGGAAATTTCCTCCTCCATTGCTCTATTCCACATAGGATCTGCCTTGGCTTCTTCGAAATTTGACAGCTCCTCTTCTCCTAGTAAGCACAGACCCGAATACTACAACTCTATTGGGACTGTTGCATCGTACAAGCTTTTGATGTCATGCTTACCCCGTCGTCCTACTGATGAACTCTCATCAGATGTCAAGGGTTGTAGTGTTTCAGTTGATACTGATTCTTCAACAGTTACTGTTGTAGTATAAAGTAAGTTTGAAACAGATGCTCTGGATCTCGTGTTCATCACTGGTGTAGCATACTAGTATCGATCACCAGTTTATTCATGTGTCGACAATGGGAAATCTATGCCAATTTCAATGCCAGAATCGCTGACACCCTCTTTATCTTTTTGATTTTTCATATCAGATGCGCCTGCTAGGGTAAAATAGTGTGTTGTAAGAGTGTTCCCTGTTGATTTTGTTTCTAAAAATTTGCTCCACTCCCACTTCTTCTCCTCTTCGAACACGACATCCCTGTCACCACTACTCGTTTTGACTTTGGATCAAACATCTGATAGCCTTTTGTATTCGAATCATAACCAATAAACACCATTGGTTTGCTTCGGTCTGCAAGTTTTGAAAGATGAGGTGTAACATCTTTTACATGTCCCACACATCCAAAGATACGAAAATGTTCAACAGTTGGCTTATGGTTGTAGTATGCTTCATAGGGAGTTTTACAGATAATGCTTATTGTTGGTGCTCGATTTAGGAGATATACGTTAGTTGATACCGCTTCTCCCCAAAATTCCCCTGGGACTCCCATGCTTTTCAACAAGCTCCTTGCCATGCCAACCATCGTCTGATTTTTTCGTTCAACAACTCCGTTCTCCTGAGGAGAATAAGGCACCGTGAGATAAATCTTAATTCCCAACATCTCACAATAAGTCTTGAACTCATTTAAGGTGAATTCGCCACCACGATATGTGCAAAAAGCCTTCAGCTTACTGTTTTTCTCCATTTCTGCTGATGCTTTGATCTTTTTGAATGCCTCAAATGCTTCGTCTTTGTTTCGGATCAGCACATGCCACATGAATCTAGTACAATCATCAACCAATAGCAGAAAATAGCTCTTCCCTCTGTGTGTAGCAGAAGTTATTGGCCTGCACAAATCTCCATGCCACAGTTCAAGAGGTGATTCTGCTTGAAATTTCACCACTGCTGGAAAAGGATTTCAGTGTTGCTTTCCAATCAAACAACCATCACAGATGCGGTCCTCATGCTCGATTATAGGTAAGTCGCGTACCATCTGTTTCTGACTTAGAAGCTTCAAGGCATGAAAGTTCACATGTCTGTATCTTGTATGTCAGCACCAAGCTTCTTCTTTGCTCCTTGCCAGATGTCATTAGGGTAGGGCTGGCTATGTTAAACACATATAACCGGTTCCTTGAGCTGTTCACATTTTTTAGTAGCCTTTGTGATCTTTCGAAGATAGACATTACTCCTCCTTCAATTACAACCTTGCATCCGTTCTCATCTAACTGATCAAGGCTTATTATGTTGCTCTTCAACTTCGGGATGTAGTAGACATTAGTAAGTACACGATGTTCACCTGTGAAGTATTCAAATAAAACTGAACCTCTCCCTTGTATTTCTACAGCCGAGCCATCTCCAAATTTGACTGACCCTTTAATGGTCGTGTCAATTTCAGCAAATTTTATGATACAATCGGTCATGTGGTTACTTGCGTCGGTATCTAAATACCAAGCTTTGTCTTGGGTGATGTTAATCTTTCACACCACCTTGTCTTCATGTAGTAACACATGTTCGTTCTGTATTGCGTGGCTGAGAACACAAGTTTCAACCATCAACAGTGTCGGTTCATCATCGGTTTGAGTTGTAACAAGATTGGCCTTGTCTCTTTGGTTTGGCTTGGGACACTCTTTTGTAAAGTGACCATATTTATTACAATTGAAACACTTCACCTTGGATTTGTCGATGTTGCGTGGCTTTCGGTCTTCGTTTTTGTGTTCACCATTTCCTCGACCTCCACCATTTCCACGCCAACGACCACGTCCTCTCCTGTGACGTCCTCCTCTTTTGTTAGTGCAGGAACCTTCATCTCTCTTTGCCTTTGGAATTCTTGCCTTCTACTCGGCCTGGGTAAGGAGTACATGTTCTCCACTGCTCTTTGAGTGCAGTCGCCCTTTAAGCCCTTTCTCGAAGGTTTTGAGATGACCGATTGCCTCTGAAATTGACATCTTCTTAGTATCGCCAAACTACTCAATTGTTCCAATAATCTGGAGAAATCTATCTGGAACTACGCTGAATAGTTTTTCAATAACATCGCTGTCGTCGAGCTTCGTACCCAGCGAGAGAATCTCACCCACCAGTGTGGTAAGATTCATGGAAAATTTGTTTTTGTCTCTGAATCCTCCATGTGTAACTTGTTCAGTTACCGTTTCAGCACCTGTACGCGTGCCTTCTTAACTCGATCTTCACCAACCCATATCTCCCTGAGTGCGTCCCAAGCCTCTTTTTCCATCTGCTTCTCAGCGATTTCCATCATCACGTCATCTGGCACGGATTGAGAAATGGCTACCATGGTGCCTTGATCTTTGTCATCATCTGTGTCTCCATCTTTGATCACTGACCATACTCCTAGCAAACACAAGATTATCTTCATATTGATAACCCATATGCCATAGTTCGTTTCGCTTAACGTTGGATATTGGATCGGGAATGAGGCTCCTCTTACCATCGGTTTGACCACTGCAAATGTCTGTGATTGATCTCCTACTTCACTGGCCATTGTTTTGACAACTTGGCTCTTGATACCAAATGTTGGTTATCTTAAAGTTAGTAACAAACTTGAAACACAAAACAAAACACAAAGGCTTTTGTGATGCTCAACACACTGCATCATTTTCTGGTTTTCTTATTATACAAGCAAACACAAAACATAACTGCACCACTTACATAACAGCCCACGTTTTCTAAAAATAAAACTAACCATATCAACTTTACTCAAATAACTGCTACTCTACTTTTATTAACTGCTGGTACTAAATCCTAACCGCCTAAAATATGCTTAAAGTTTAAAACCATACAAAGACAACTCCTGGAGACAACTAGATTAACTCAACATGGCAGAATAATGACGAATGAAGAATGATATTGTCGTCATCTCGCCTCGACCGGCTAGTGCCCTTTATGCAATATTGAAATGGAAGATATGGTTCACATATTGTATAGGTACCCTGTTGCTTTCAATGCTTGGTAAAGATTAATAAAGACTGAAAGATTCCAAATTTGAAGAATGGGTCCTTGCAAACTTGAAGGGACAAGAGAACTTTGCGCTCAATGGTAGACACTAGAAAAGATCTTTGATGTTCTCTGTTGGAAGATATTGAAATGAAGATACATGGTGGTATTCCAATATGATTTTATCGAGCATAAAGACTTGCTAATTCAAAGTCTTCGACTTAGGGATGAAATTGTAGCAACTGAGGTAGTGCATCAAAGATATCAAACTTTTATAAGAGAAACAGCTCGTTGGATTTATCCTGTAGGTGATTGGATTAAGGCAAATACAGACGGTGTTTTCGGTGGGTCATACATACATCACAACGCGTTGGATTTATCCTGTAGGTGATTGGATTAAGGCAAATACAGACGGTGTTTTCGGTGGGTCATACATACATCACAACGCTTACATGAAAGGAAGATGGATTAACGCTTCCACTTGATTCAGACGATCAATCCTTGGAAAAGAAGAACAAAATAATAGCATACTTGCGACTGCTTTTTGAATGAGATCCTAATGTTATTTGGTCGACATGTCTTCTGAAGATACAATCGACTATTTCTTAGTTTTCTAATGGTTATTGAATCACATCAATCAATGTCGAGAACTCAAGATATGTCCATTTTAGTGAAGATAACATGTAAATAAATCCCTATACGATATTAATACGAGATTTTGTAATTAATTACGAATTTTCAATATTTTCATCTTAGAAATAGTTTAATTTAAGGTTAGAAATGTAATTTTCTTGTAATGACAAAATCATAGCATCCCCCATCTTATTCTATAAGCCGCTACCTTCCAGAAGCTTGACCTAGATTGTTTATCACATCCAACAGCTGAGGGCTAAGTCATGTATTCAAACTCCTAGTTTCTGATGCTACGTAAGATGCTATAGCAATTACGCAAGTATACATATCATTCAAGTAATAAAGTGGAAGCTATAAAACCTTCGGATGTCGAACCCAGAGAGAGCGTATGTCACAAAAGAGTTGTTGTTGGCAAAAAGAAAATATAAGTAATATTTATTTTTAGAAAGTAACAGAAAGATGGCAAAGTAATAAAATTAGAATGATAAAAGTAGGGGAATGCTATAGCAAGCAGTGAAGCAATTAGACCAATGGACCAAAGAATGTTGTTGTTATCTAGTAGCTTATAGTACGATTATGCTATGGCAATACAATTATGAGTTATGCAACGATTAACACATTAATCCTCTCTCGAGAATTAAACACTCAACCAAATGAAATTAACTCTCATCAATAGCATAGTTTAAACAGTTAACGAAGCATAACACTCGGCATCATACATCTCTATATGATTTAGTTTACTCTCATAAACACCGATGCTGGAGCGAAAGTAGCATGCAATCTCAATAATTCTTATCTCTAAAAATAACCAAGAATAACACACATGAAGATGAAATTACCTCGCATCCATTAAGAAGAAATCAACTCATAAAATTATTATTTAAAGTAAAAAACATAAAGTAGATATTTCATCGAACACCTTATGTTCAAATCTAAATAAAACAAAAAATAATTTAAAATATCCAACTTCATAATATTGTTTCTCCCTTCTCAAGTCAAATACACCAAGCAAAGATGAATCCCGATCGGTCGTCGCTACTACACAGATGCTCTACGCTACTAGTACACTCCCCAACGAATGGCTTAGGTGCCCATGGTGAAGGTAGGAAAAAAGAATAAAAGGCTGACTAGTGTTTTTGATAGATCCCAAAAGTGTGAAGAAATAGTTATATTTATAGCCCATCAAGGCTAAACTTTCCACCAATAGAAAAGATCCCATTTTTTATAAAAATTCCTTTTTAAATTCAAATTCCATCATTTAATCCCATAACAACTGTGAACAACTATCAATTCATAAAATTTCTCTAGCTGCATGGTGACTCTGAAAGGCTACAACATCGTCTCGAAAATCCAGTCCAGCATCAGCGTACAGTAACGACTATAACATTAACAATGTCACAACATCAGT